CTACATTATATTGTGAAGTTTTTGATACTAATATGATGAATTAAAAGTCATAAACAACTTTTCCGAGATATTTAATTTAGTTATGTCACCATTTTCTGCTGTTCAGTTCTATTTTTTACAGCGAATTCTGGATCTGACACATGTTGTGTAGATCTTTTCGTTAATTTGCAATTACTATTATATCGTTTACAATTTTTAGATTATATTATCTGTGGATGACGGGGATCCTGACAGCCGTTTTGTTTTCGCGTCACTTGATGTTATTACTTTGGTGGTAGTCATGCTAACTGACCGTATTGTTTACTAATTTTGTAATTTTTGACTGGATGAATATATAGTTGATGGATGGTAGCTTTATTTCTTGCTGTTCATGAAAAAACTATGTAAATGTAAAATTACAAGAACCTGTCAAACAAAGCGGTTAGACTACCCACATTGGACAGCACCAAGGGCACAGAGCGGTGCTAGAAATCAACAATCGGGTTATACAACTGATTGATCTGCACAAACCCCTTACAAAAACACTGTATTATAGAGTCTTTAACCTTTTTTTTAAAAAAAGGACAGTGGTATTTTTCCTCGCTGAGTAAATTTCATTGTTTTGATCGTTTATAACGTATCAAGACTACTGTTTTTCACTTTAATTGAATTTATTTCAGTTAAAGTATTCGACTAAAGTATCGCTTTTACTGTTTTTTCGTTGGTACTCTTTAGTACTTCTTTTTCAACTGTATCTGTTAGTACTTTTGGTCCTAGCAATCTACAGCTCTTCACTTTTTTGGTCACTGATAATTGTTTTCTTTCTGGGTATCATCGCATATTGAAAAAACCCCTCGTAAATGACAGGACAGTGTAGAAAAAGCAGTTGCCAACGTCCGGGTTGTCGTTATTCTGTTGAAAGCGGCATGCAGTGCGACGAGTGCAAAGGCTGGTACCACGAAGTTTGCACGAACTTAACGCCTGCTGCTTTCAAACGGTTCAGTAAGAAGGGTTGTGTGTGGCTTTGTCAACAGTGCTGCTCGGATGCAAACAGCTTGTTAACCGAGGCCATCTCACTGGTTGATGCTGCAAAGAAGTGTGTCAACAAGTGTAGTTGGAACACGTCAAACAGCACTCGATTTGTCGACACACAAATCGACATCAAGCAAACCAAGATTAGTTCGATAGTAGATGACTCACGCCGGTCAAAGAAGGAAAAGCAGTCTCCAAAGGGGCCTGCCTTAAAAAAAAGCTCAAGAAAAGTAGGGTCTTCTGTTCCCCGTCTCCCAGATGGGATCCAACAGGAAACACCTAGGAGCCGCAATCGCAAGGCTCGATCGGTTTCAAATGGTAAACATAACACGACCCCTCAGGTCGTCGACAACCCCCCAAAACCCAACACTGGGTTTGACGCAACTGTTATTGCTTCTACCAGCACCGTTGACGAATGGGAAAAAGTTGTAAGGAAGAAAAGTATTGATATAAAAGGGAAACCTGCCCCCGTAAAAGTGGTTGAAAAATAGAAAGCTGATCATAGCGACAGATCAGCTATTTTTCATAGAATTAAGGAGAGCGATAGCTCTGAACCTAAAGCTCGTTTTGAGCATGACATTGTACTGATTAGGCAGCTGCTTAATCAACTCATGCCTCAAAATATGACTGGGGTCACCTTGCTAATGGTGTATAGACTAGGGAGTCTAACGGACTCGAAACCAAATAATTCCAGACTGCTTAAAGTAGTATTCGGCTCTTCAAACGAACGTGACCTAATTTTACAAAATGGACACAAATTAAAGGGTTCAGGAGTCTTTATCCGAAAGGACCTACCGTTGGCAGACCGTGTTAAAAGACGGGAAGCCGAGAAAGAACTACAACATAGGTTAGACGCTGGCGAAAAGAACCTGAAAATTGTAAATTTTCGGGTTGTAAGACTTCGACAGAGAATGATGCCGAAGCCACTCTGGGTGAAGCACGAAGGCAATTAAACAGTCTTCGGATCTGTTACACCAATGCACGAAGCTTACTTAATAAGCGATCGGAACTAGGTGTACAGATTGACTCTACAAAGCCAGATATAATCGCAGTAACAGAAACCTGGGTGACACAGGCTATAGATAGTATAGAACTTGATTTCGAGTGCTTTACGTTAGTAAGGGCCGACAGAACACAAAAGCGCAAAGGAGGGGGAGTAGCTCTATTCATTAGGAATGCTATCCCATTTACCATTATCGATAGTGTATCCCATGAGAGTGGGACGTGTGAATTAGTTAGTCTTCGCTTAAAATGCAAGGGACAAGAGCTGCTGATTGGTTTGGTCTATCGCAGTCCAAGCTGTGAGGCAAATGAGATCCTGTTAAGCAGTCTCAATACTTGGTCCCAAAGTGGTCGATGTCTAATCTTAGGGGACTTTAATGCACCTATGGTAGACTGGGAAAATCTGCGAACTAAATCGTCAGAGAATTCTTTCGAGCAGGAACTAGTTGATGGGGTTATCACATGTGCTCTAGAGCGACATGTGAAAGAAGCGACAAGGTACGATCCGGACACTGAATCATCCTTATAAGATCTTATACTGACTCACTATGAGGATGATGTTGCGAACCTCCACCATATGCCACCCTTAGGTAAAAGTGACCACGCAGTTTTAACTTTCGACTTCCATATAACTGCCAGTCATGAAAACGCGTCAGTCCAGTCCAGACCCAACGTCTGGAAAGCAAACATACCAGACATCATGCACTCAGCATCGTTAATAGATTGGACAATAGACCCAGAGTCCTCCATTGAAATGGCCTGGGACGCATTTCGAAAATCATACTTAAAAGTTACCACACCTCACATCCCTTGGACTATACCAAAGGGGACGAAAAACTCACCACCATGGTTCAGTAGGGAGGTCCGTATCCTTCTCCGTAAGAAAAGGAAAACGTGGGATAGATTTAGGTTACTGGGGACTAATGAGTCAAAATCTCAGTATCGAAAGGCTCGGAACACTTGTGCCTCGACCCTCCGTAAGTCTAGAAAATTGTACGGAGGAAAACTTGTTAAGGAATCCATAGAATGTCCTAAACGCTTGTATTCCTATATAAACCAAAGGACAAGGTGAAAAGGAAATATTCCTGCTCTAGGGGGAGACAGTACTGCTTCATCATTAGTGGAGGACGACTTTGGTAAGGCTCAAGTGTTCTCGAACTACTTTAACAACGTATATACCATAGAAGCGCCCTTCCTGTCAGCGTATACAGATCCCCCCATACATACACTGGATAGCGTGACCATTAAAGAACTCGATGTCTTTGGTCTACTAAATAAGCTTGACATAGGTAATCCACGGGGCCCGATGAATTATATCCTAGGCTAGTGAAGGAGTTATCTAACTTAGTTGCGAACCCTTTAAGTATATGCTTTAACCTATCGTTAACGCAGGATCGCTTACCGAAAGATTGGAAAAACGCCATAGTAAGTCCTGTCTTCAAAACAGGCACGAAACACAAACCTGAGAACTACCGCCCCCTTAGCCTAACTAGTGTGGTTGTTAAAATATTAGAAAAGATTATTCGGAAGGAGCTGTTTAAGTATCTCGATAAAAACCGGATCCTCTCGGAGAAGCAGCATGGCTTCAGAATAGGTTATTCTTGTCTCACTAACTTATTAGTGGCTCGTGAAAGCTGGTGTGCTCTTAAGGACCAAAAGCTACCTGTAGACGTCGCCTTCATTGATTTCAGTAAAGCTTTTGATAAAGTTCCGCACAACCGGCTGTTATATAAGTTAAGACATGTCGGGATTGGAGGTAATTTATTGATGTGGATAAAAGACTTCTTAGTCGGGCGTCAACAAAGAGTAAGGGTGAACTCCAAGTTGTCTAGCTGGGAAACAGTGCTTAGTGGAGTGCCCCAGGGTACAGTTTTGGGGCCAGTGCTATTCCTCTTGTATGTAAATGACCTTCCTTGTCTCCTATCATCATCGGTCTTGCTATATGCTGACGATGTCAAGATATGGAGAACGATACGATGTGAGGGTGATAGCTTAGAACTTCAAAATGACCTGAAGAAGTTATCTGAATGGTCTCAAACCTGGCAGTTGCCGATAAATACTTCCAAGTGTGTTGTGATGCATATCGGTCATCAAGGCACAGATACATACACGATGAATAACACTGAGCTACCTGTCGTCCAGACATATAATCACTTAGGAGTTATCGTTAGTCAAGACTTAAAGACTACTGCACACTGCCGTGCAATAGCCGCCGAAGGTTTCAGAACGTTATGGTCAATACGTAGGGCTTTTAGTCATGTCGACGCTAAGACGTTTCTGATTCTGTATACAGTGTTCGTACGTCCTAAACTTGAGTACTGCATACAAGCGGCCAGCCTCTGCTTAAAAAAAGACAGTGAGCTTCTGGAAAAGGTTCAGAGAACGGCAACTAAGCTGATTCCCGGAATAGCGAAGCTTCCGTATGAATCTCGACTGGCCAAGCTGAACCTTTTCCCGTTGTCATATCGCAGAACTAGAGGCGACTTGATTACAGTCTACAAATTGCTTAGTGATAAATTTGCACCTGATATGCCCTCATTTTTCTTGTCTTCCAAAACAGAGAATTTACGAGGACACTCCAAAAAAGTTCATAAGCCGAGAACAAATTACTTGTCAGCTGACTATCGACTTTCCCATCGAATCATCAACGAGTGGAATTCACTACCTCAGCACGTGGTTGAGGCTCCATCCGTCGACTCTTTCAAAAGAAAGTTGGATCAACTGAGAGACCACCATTGCCAGGACTAACATAGGCCATCGAGCCTCCTATCCTTTCCAAACTGAAATTGAAACTGTCCAGCAAAGCGGTTAGACTACCCACATTAGACAGCACCCACGACACAGAGCTGTGCGAGAAATCAACAATGGGGTTATGCGACTGATTGATTTGCACAAACCCCATACAAAAACACTGTATTATAGAGTCTTTAACCTTTATGATAATGAATGTCTTATAACGCGCTGAAGTTTGGCGGAAAAACAATTCAAATTTATCAGGAGGTTGGTATACTTGTAGCTTTTAAAAGCAGAGTGTGATATATATCTTGCAAACAACCGTCTGAAATATCTTTCGATCAGTTTTTAACTCTTGGCTTGAAATGTGGGTAATTTTATTTAAACATAAGGAATCTGTGAATCTTCTTTTCTAACATAAATATATGTTGATACAGATACACGGTGCATATATTCATCACATGTTAATTGCTGTACACTCTCGTTACTTAAGCTCGTTCAAAGTACGCAATTGAAGCTTACGAATTAATCAGTGGAATTTTATTTGAAATTAATTAAAACCGATTGGTAGACAAGTGAACAATGGATAAACTTAAGTAAACAGATAATTAATAAAATTCCTATTATAGATGAGTATTTTAAATCCTGAATTTAGTCCCTTCATTATTTTGCCTCTGGTATCAAACTGTCGGGGATCTCCATAAAGGTTTGAACCTCTTGCTAACACCAATATTTTTCTATATATGTAAACATTGGTGATTTAACGTGCTGAAATAAATTTAGTAGAAATATTGGGATGCTCACTGATCAGTTATCGATCGCATATCTTTATTATCTAACACTTGGATCCAGTTGTTCTAAATTTTAAGAGTCCTCATGTGATTACTTATGAATGTTTTCCTCAGTTGTCGCTCTAGGTGTTCTTTTGGATCAATTTAAAATCGTCGTTGTACATAAATCTGTGTTAGGGTTCTAACCAATGGCATACCAAATTTTGTAAGACCCGTGTACTACACTACTCGTGTTTTCAGCTGCTGTCATGAGATTTAAAATAACAATGATCCAGTTCACTCTTTCACACACAACCGGTACTAGCAATTCAGTTTTTCAAAGTCCTATCCTCAGTTTCCCAAAAATGCAATTCGAACTGCGTGTTAAGACTTTCCATGCCCGGATTTTGTGTCACAGTGTTTCACGCCATTAACATTATGTGGATATCTAAAACCCACTTACCGGATGAAAGTCTGAATATTCAGTTGATCTCAATTAGATTTTTCTAAAAGATCAACAAGATTCACTCTCTGCATACCCATAAACCCGTTAGTATTTTCTGACAATGGTTTCAAAATGGATAGTTTTGAAATTGCGACAGTCACACCCTGACTAGATGCTTGCTGACAGTCGCTTTTACACCGTCATTTCAAGTGGTATAGTAGGAACTTTAAAAACAGAGATATACGGCGTCGCTTATTCGTTCTTTCCGTCCACAGCTCCGCTGGTTAAGTGAGAGATGAGTGCTTTTAATGCTCAAGTGAGCAGGGTTGTATAAACTGGAAACACTTTGAATGTGACCAACGTTTATTCAAATCTACAATCCTATTAAACGACATGATAGATTGATATAAGCCGTTGTGCATACCAATACAGAGTGAAAAAATATGTGATCACTGCATATGGAATCGCAACTCCGTCAGTTACATCGTACGCATTCACACATAATTCATGATTTTTATTCACGTGTGTTTGTTTATATTATTCTTTGTTTATTTGAACTATATGTGTAAGCGAAGTCAGCTATTAATTTTTACTCAACTTTGCTTCACTTCACCCTAAACTTGTGTCGTACATGGTTAATCCGTTGACCCCATCTGAAACATATTCTTCTCCACCTAACTTTGCATGACCTTTTGTCTCTCAATTTGTCTAAATAATCTAGTAATACAACAAAATTAAGTCGAAGTAGATGTTAGAAGCAAAGGGGTATCAATCACAGCAGAGTCGTAGTATATCATAACGTTTTCATTGGACAGAATCGCAAGGCATTCGAACTTAATAAACTTATTAAAATTTACAGGCTGAGCCAAGATATTATAGCAATAGATACCGACAGATATTACTATCAACCATAATTAGTGAGATTCAATAGACTTCCATTCCTTCTGCAGGAAATACTCAGACACTGGTGCATGAAAACTCTCCTCATCGCTTTACTGAACGCAGGGAAGTTCAAAATAATGACTGACCCGAGTTCATTTCCAAGAGTATGTTCAGGATATAACTAGCTAGGCACTTAGCTGACCACGTAGATGTTTACTCTAAAGTAATTTGGCTGGGCTTTTGATCTATTGTAAAACCGTTTGTAGAGTCTTTTAGCGACCTGAACTAAAAGGTTATAAAAACGTCGGTAAATTTATAAAGTCTTAAGTTCAGACTAATCAAACGTCTAACACAGGATTGCGAGGGATAGCAGCTAACAAAAGCGAGGTCAATGGAAAAGGGAGTCGTGATAAGTAGAACAGATTAACTATTTAAATTGAATAGAGGAATGGGTTAATTAGCCGAATTTCGATGAAACTTCTTTAGAATGTTGGAATCTCGATTTCCTTTGTAGGTCAAGAGGCTAAGTCTCAGAGTAGAACATTTTAGGAAACGATTCAACCAAAATATAGCTACTGTTTAGTTGCCTGCTTCTTACTAACAACGTGAATTAGAGATCGACATTGGATATCCAGCCATTAATAAAGATGATAAAGGGTAGTGCGCATACTTGTTGACCCTCGAAAATTTGAAGGCAGTTTAAAGATAACACTTCATTCATCTAATTTTTCGAGATTGCCCTTTTATCACGAGAACTGGATAATATACAGAGCATACTTATCCCGTTGTGGAGCAATGCAAATATGTTTAAGACGCGTCTCTATCCTTCTAAATGTAACTTATTGCCTAAGACAGGTTTGCATCAACGACGCAGATGCATTCATTCTTTATTTTCCTTTAGTTCATGAATCTCAAAGTCCCCTTTCTCTTCTTTGTTTCTCTTCTTTCTACATATAACTCTCTCTATCCCCATTGATACTATTACCACTTCTATTAATATTGCATTTTTCAGGATAATTTCATCGTGTTGTAATCGTGTGGTGTGAAAACTTGGACTAGTGTACGTTTGTGTGAGGTTGTACTTTACACATAATTGACTGACTGTATCAATACCTAGTCTGACCACAGGGAGTGGAATGGCTGAATACGTCAACTTTCCCACTTTCTTTGGGAGTCCAACCGGTTCTGGCGGGTTCACATTTGACGAAACGTCGGGACGTCTATAAAAAAATCAACTTTTGATGCGACATGTGGTGACTTAGAGTTGTTCATGCTATTCTCATGTTCAACACTCATGATTGGTTGACTGAAAATACTGTATACTCAGTCTTTAGAACTCTGTATTCCATTTGAACAGATTCTTTGTTTCTTTTGTTAACATCTTCCCAATTTTTATATTTTTCATACATATATTTCTCCTTAACAAACTTGACCCATTCAGGAGTACAACTGTGATGTATGCTACTTAAGTAGACAGATTTAAGTAGTATGTACACCAATCAAAAGTGGAATGCCTGGCGGTAGAAGGTTGAGAAAATCGAAGAGAAGAAAACGAGAACAGAGAGTGATTGATATAAAACCGAAGGAACAATAAAGTCTGAGACGATTGATGGATATTTTGCAAATGATGTATTTACTGTATGGATCTCAGATTTTACAAAGATATTCTGTAATGTATGTGAATACATTAGGTTGTCCCCACTAGTGTTCTCATTCGGTACACAATGAATTCAGGGGTGAAAACCGACTATCTAATGAATCTTTTTGTGGTGATAAAACCAGATTATCTTATTTTTGAAATCCATCTGATGAGTAATACTAACTTAGTATTTTAATTTTCTCTAAACTTCAGTAAAGTTGTTTCTTTCCAATTATTTAAATTTAAACAGTTAACCAAAATGAGTGCAGATGATTTCGATGAACTAATTACGGAAACATCAAGGAACATTAACGAGCTGATAATGCTGTTCAACTCTAAAAAATGTGATGCAGAAGAATTTGATGAGTTGTTACGGTCATTTCTTCCTAGTCAAAACCTTGGTGATAGGTCAATTCATCTGACAAAATTTCGTACAAAAGTTGCCGTAGATATACTGTCAAAAACCTCGGTTTTCGTAAATCTTGTGTCAATTTATCGAGAATTGGGAAGAATGGCTATTCCTTTGAGTTTTTTAACATTAAATCCACTTCCCGTTGATAAATGGGTCCTCAAACTTATCGACTTCCAACAATTTTTGTCAAATTATATGACCGTCAGCATAAGCTTTACACGGAAACTGATCAAATCTGATATATATTTGACAGAAGTACGGCGTATATTAAATGCTACCAACACCATGAAAATGTCCGAGGTTTGGAACGCTTTGTTTTAAAATATAATTTAGTAGCTTGTACGATCATTAATGGATCACATTATCTCTGGATTGAATACTGCATTAATTTATGAAAATGAGTTTATTACACAAAGGCTTAAAGATTATGGTCTACGTGATATTTTATCGCGTTGTACTTGTCGTGATCCAAAAATTAAGGTTTGAGGAATTATTTCCAGTTAATATTTATTTTTCAGTTGGCCATAACCATTTTTTTAACGTTTACCTACACTGATATCAGTCAACTTCATCTAAAGGAAGAATCCATTGAGTTATTCCTAAACTGCTTTGATTATTTTATAGATGAAGGAATTGAAAGTGATGATTTGTTTAGTGCCTTTCAGTTTAATAAAGGTATGCTTTTTTTCAAACAAATAGTTTCTGCAGTCTGAATTATTTATTTTATATTTACCAAAAACATAAGGTATAACGTAAAACAGTGAAATGTTTGTGGAAAACGGGCCCATCTTTACATTAGTTGGAGTGACATAAAAAAACAGGTGAGTATTCCTGGAGACATAAAGTTAAGCCAGCAAAATATACAGTTTGGATAGATATATAGTACTGTGGTGTTCTTTATTTACCAGACGAGTCTCCAACTTTTCTACAGTTTAATCATAACTAGTAACCACCAGGAACTTTATTGAATGACCAATAATTTTCTTTACGCAAATAGACTTCAATATCACTTGTTTTATCTACTGAATATGTACAATGACATTCAGAAAGTTTTATTATTCAAATATTCAAATTTCAAAGGTCCTTGGTACGAATAAATAGTTGATTAATGACTTTGAATTTGGATTTAAAATTTGTCGGTGTTTCACAGGTTTGTTATCCTTAATCTTTAGTTAAATTTAGAATATCATAAAGCCAACATTCGTATAAAGCTTGCCAGACTCGGCACCATATACCTATTACAAGAAATGTCTATTCTCATCAGTGCCTGCCAGTCAGTTGGAGTCAGATGTAGCCCTCAAAATATTGTGAATATGTCGGAAATTTTAGTGAACAACACTAAACCATCATACCTCAAGCTGTCTAAAGTAAACTCATTTAAGACAGTGGCTCAATTGCTTCTTGTTTATTTAAAGCCTAAATATCACTAACAGTTGGGAACCAAGTGTCTGTCTCCCATTAATACTGTTAGTAGTTAGTAGGTAACTGGAGAGCAGTTCAGGACCTGTTGGTTGTTTCATGGAATGTTTCATCCATTATTATGGTCACCTAATATGAGGTTGGACTGAAAATTGGTCTTTGTCTGTGACAGTTTTATCTAGGGCTACTTTTCAACCGATCTTGACAAGTCTAGAGAACTATTTTTTGTTACTTAGCTCTATTTTTTCTTATATTTGCTTTGTTACCCTTCCTCAATATAAGTCATATCGGTCCAAATGTATTCACCTAATCTCTTCATTTACGTCTTCAACTTATTACTACTCAACACATTCCCGTCTTCGATTTCGTCCGTTCCTCTTGAAGTGTGTTTTCTATGCTTAGTTTTCTACTACCATTGATATTATTATTTTAATTCGTCTGATTTTAATTTTACTGATTTCACCTTATTGTGTGAATAGAGTGTAAAATCCTAAGTATGATACCTATATCAGTAATGATTGACGAAAGATCTCAGTTAATGAGTAGATTTTCTGTTAGTTTATGTTCAGTAAATGTTTTTTAATTTGTTCGAGATGACTTTATGAAAACTTATTGATTCAAAAAAGGCCATCAAAATTCATTGAGTTTTGATAATCTTATGTTCTAGATTTTCAACAAACATCTCAAAACGACTGTATGAATTTAACTAGCGAGTCTTTAGTGCTTCACCTATTTGACACAGTTTTTAAGCAAAACAAACTTTTTGTGTTTGTTGCAAAAGCTTAAAATGACGGGTACGCATAAAACAGCATAACGATGAGAAACGCTTAATTTGAACATTTAAATTAGTATAACCGTTTACCAAATACTATTGTAGATGATACTACATACCGGTAAATCCCTATTAGTCTTTGTATACACTTGTGAAACTTATATTATAGACATTGGGATCCATTTTAGGCGTCAGAAAATTAAAGTTTTATGTGAGTTCTTAAACGTGAACTAAAACTAAATGATGAGGTTGCTTACCTGACTTTCTTTTTTCAAAACTGTTCAATGTTTAGTGGAAATGCCGGTGTGTAGTATTTATGAACCTATTTGTATTCCAGATAAGTAAATAAAGCACTCTATAATTGGCAGAAAAATTCAACCTAAGGCCTCCCTGCGGCGCTTCTGGGTAGCAGGGGCAACCTTGCTAGCTAACTTAAGCGTTCGGCGGACATCGAACTAGTCTACCACTCTGCCGCAAACCGAATTGACTGGGTTCCCGTGAGGTGCCCGAACACCGATTACCACGACGTGCAATGCTAACCAGCGTTCGGGATGGTTGGAAGAAAGTTAGGGGCGGCCAAACCAAAACGTGGCATCAGTGCTTGAAGTCACTAACTTCTAGTCTGAGCCATGTTGGTAGATGCAGATTATCTGGTTGGGGTCCGCGTGACTTTCGTAACCAATGGTCGGAGACTCTTGGTGACATGGCTCAGAATTGATCACAATGGCGTCGGTGTATGCACTCTCTATCTCCCCTTAAACTAAGAGATTAAAATTGCTTCATATCTTTCTTTCTGCGAACTAATTCTTTCTTCCTGTACTATATCCTTGTTGCAATCTTTCTTTTATATATTACCACCTTTGAATTAACTACTTTTATGAATCCGGTGTCCATCCTGTTGTGTTAATGAGGTATGGCAACTTGGACTGATGCATATATGTGCCTGGTCCTACGTTGTAGCTGACTGACTGACTGACTAAGGTGCCCAGCGTGTATGCTTTTGTATATGAATTGCATGAGTTTCGGCTTGTGTGGTTTATATATGTGTGCAGATGGTATGCGCGTGGGTTGGCACAAGGAACATAAACTGAAAAATTTCTGCCTTGTATTTAATAAAATCAGCAGTCTAATCCTTCAGGCCGAAGACATAATAAGAAAATATGGTAGCAAATACTAGGGAGAGGTGATTATCAACCCTCCCTGAAAGAGTGCTTATGATTTTGTGTATCGTAAATTGCATAGGTGAAAGCCTTTATATCAGTGATATTCATGTTATGCGTCAGTGACAGTCAGCTGTAGCAAATCCGTTCAAAGGTATAGGTCACCATCTACCCACCCAGACGAGCGAATATACCTATATATATGTTATGGAATGGATGAGTAAACAATTGTGTGTCACCAGTGTTCATGTAGCGTATATTTGCTCACAAGGTAAGTATACTTATATGTATAACTGGTATGCATGTAGAATATACTTGCCCGTGGTATGACACCCGTGCGCCAATACCGAGGGGTAACGTTTTCTTCACAAAATCACATCCATGATGTGGTTCTATGAGTTTTAAGAAACAGAAACCATTTCCAGAAAAACCAGTGTGATTGACTAGCCTTAGAACGGCTAGAACATCGCATCCCATTATTGGTAAGGTATAAAACTCAAACTAAACTGTTACATTCTGACAAAACAATATTATTTTCAAAAGAACAGATTTCTCACTAGTCCAAAAGCTGATACTGATACACGGTATACTACGCGCCAACCTCTCAACTGACTACTTGAACAAGAACATAAGAGTGAGCGAAAAAGTGCATTGGGCTACCGAATGAAACACACAAACACTTATGTATATGCCACTGTATCCTTAGGAAATTGACCCTATTGAAATGCACTTGATCTTTGGGTCACTCCTGATCGCCGTCGATTGACTTTCTGCTACTTCTGATTGACTGCCCATCTCAGGTATTTAAAAAGTAACTGCTCGTCAGACAAAAAGAATCAACTAATGTATGTAATGACCAATAAACCACGTAAACGTCCCAAATATGACTTAGTCAATATCGTTAGAACCTACTGTTTTATATGGAAGAAATTAAAAATTCATTCGTTTCAAGTTTGTACTGACATGTTTTTCTAGCACAACGTGAAAAATTTCTTAATTAAAATACCTTAATACCAACATTTACCAGCATGCTAGTTGTTTGACAGCAATATAAATATTTATTATTTTAGTTACACCTATTTTGTGTCTCATTGAAATCTTTCAAAAATGGATGATAAGCATTCTTCTTCTTAATATAAACTTCAGTGCTACGTATTTTGGCTTTGGATGGTGAGAATAGAAATAAGTTTGCCCAGCGTGATGTTGTGGGACGCCTGAAGTTGTTGCCGAAATCTTTATCTCATGGTACAGATGAAATATCATTGACTACACGCATTTTATCCTCGAAACTTTCAAACGACGATGCTATCATGGAGATAAAGTTACTTGCGATGGAATTTTGCAACAATGCGATTGGAATAGAAGATGAAGTTAAAACGTTCACTGAAAGCTATAGTGATGATGAATATATACCTCAATATCCATCGTCTGAAAATGAAACTGATGACGTAGGTATGTAACAACGTCAACTTAGTACTGTTCTTAATTCTGTTTTTACATAATATCATACAGAACAGTGTTTTTTGTGATTGTCATATACACTGGATAAGAAACCAACCTAGCGCTTAATCCAAAAGGGCTTAAGGTGAGCTTTACACAATGCTAAATGAAAGCTATCGGAAATCATTGGAATTGAATATTTCATTGCACAGTAAAATAGGTTAGCCTATGAAAACGTCTCATGCTGTTAAGTTGGATGATGCGGGATCGAATCTGCCTGGTAGTACTAGTTCTCTTGCGAATAAAATTATGTCAAATCTCTCGAAGCCTAGATCAAGGCTATCCTATCTACCATCTCCAAATAGATAATATTTCAATGCAGTACATCACATGTCGAGTAACTCAAACTATTAGCCACATTAAAGCTTGGTCGATAGAACTCGATTATTTTGAAAGAATATTCCCTTTTTTCATTGGTAGAGATACTTCGCTACTGCACGTTCTTCGTGCTGTTAATGCAGTTTATATACTCTTTGGGTTTCCAATTACATTGCAAAAATTTGCCTTGAAAATGGACCAAAGAATTTCAGTCTGGCTTTTGTAAATGAAGTCCGCACTTAGTTTAAAGTTGTCGTTATTACATTATGATTCAGTTCTGGCTAAATCCCTGGAAATAGTTTTGGATATTTAGTATTTCGAAGTTTATATTTTAGTTTTGAATTATAATTTCATCTATGGTGTACACTCTATTCCTTTAATGTTTACCTTTTTAAAGGTATAAACTTCTTAGTAACTTATTGATATTTTAGTACGCTCTTAATTACACTAGTTTTAACGATATTGTAAGTAAATCTATGTACAGAAACTTTCCACCTAATCATTGTTGTCGTTTGGTTTTTATTATTGACCCTCTTATTAAGATGTAACTAACCCCCCTGCATTAAGTGGATCTGGAAAGGAGAAGAGAGTTATCCATATTCGATCTGCTGTCTCACTATTCCACTTTATCGACCAAACTTTTGATTAATTAAACATTTTTGATAGTGATAGTGAACTACATGACCTTAATGTTAACTGTATTTATACTGACAAGTTTTATAGTATTTCAAATTGTTTAAACAACTAGTATGGGACTGAGCGGTACGTATCCACGACCCCGCCAGGGATCGAACCTAGCACGTTTAGTTCTTACAGCTACTGCCTAACCTTTAAACTACTGAGTTGTTATTCACTGGTTTGTATTTCTAACTTTAGTCATTTCAAGATATTGCAAGACTATCATCCATTATCACCTGTCAGTAGCTGCTCCACACCCGACTCCATTGATCACTGCTTGTCACCAGGATTATGGCAATCTCCTTTTGAAGTTAATTGCCAGTAGGCACATGACATAATTTTGTCAAACTTAATCAACTATCATAAGTGTTGATTAGATTCGAGATTTTGATGCCGGAATCCTATCTAAATCCGATTTTATAATCATATGTAATTAAATTATTATTATTATTATTATTATTATTATTATTATTTTTATGGGTATTATTTCATAGAATGTAGTGAAGTAATAAAAGAAAAACCTCAATTGAATGGTCATATTATGATTAGCTACAGTCATGATGATCAGGAGATAGCGATTAAGATTAAAGAAAGGCTTGTGGAGGAAGATATCAAGGTATATCAATTTTATTTTGTAATTTCAAATTTTTAAACATTTTCTAACTGAATTTTATACAATAATTCGCTTCTATCCTCCAAACACATACTTAAAGCTAGTCAAAAACTAGAATGAAATGATTTAAAGAAAGAAAAGATATTGTGCAATGAGATGAGATTCGACAAATCCCATCTTCAAATTCATAAGTTTTAGTCATGCAGAAATGTTTTACCTGATTGTAATTTAAATTGATGTAATACTTTCAAACAATTTGTGTCATAATATTCTATTTATTATATATATTAGTAGTTATCTTAAAACTTAATCAGATAATGCTATGGTTACAGGATTATCTTAATCGGGTTTCGAAAATTTAAAGGAAAATGCCAATGAAATTAGCTAAAAAGAGAAATATATTTTAGTTATTTTCATATTTAATAGGAAATTTAAATTATGTATGTTATGCTTCTTTTAAAAACATCATGATTCAGGGGTATCATTCGTAATAATAGTATATTTAATCTATTTTAACTACGAATATTGGAGTCAAGCTTTACACTCAATATTATTACTGAAAATAAGTAGAGCTATTCAAGAGGGAAAATTCTATATACACAAACCGTACAGTATCAACGATATGACTTATCATATGTAGGTTTTAAATAGCAGTTTGGAAAACGGTAATAGCATCTTATTTATTAGTAATTCTGTGGTAAGAAAGGCTATCAGCAAATAAATAAAGCTTTTTATGTATTGTTATTCTCTCAAACAGCTATGATTGTAAACGTCTTGAAAATGGCTTGTTGGCGAATTCTGTTTTGATAACTCATTATCAAAAAATAAAGATTTCACTCATAAGTCACTTTTCAAAAGAATATTATTGACATTATTTAAATCTCAGCTCTTTACAATCTGCCGTAAGCTAACGTCAACTTCTTTAAAGCTTAGACTATTGGAGAGCTCATAATATCCTACGATTTGAAGCGGGTATATGATGCGATATTTATCAGACAAATTCGTGATTTACATTTTTAACTTGAGGTTTTTTCACACTCTGAAACTCATATTACTACTTCAGGATCAGTCTACATCGAAAGTTACCTTAACAATAGAGTATAATGTCTAGACATGTTGACCACTTAATTGAATAGTTCTATCATATGTGATATGGTCAGTGTTAATAAACCATTGTTTATTCTTATTAATTAGTAGATGGGGTAGCAATGGGATCACCTCTAGGCCCGATCCTTGCTAATATTTTTCTAACCAAACTAGAAAATGGACCGCTTAAAGACATCTTAAATAAGCTTGATTATTACTGTCGATACATAGATGACACATTAATCATATGTGACGAAAATATCGACAAACAGGAGATGTTAGACGCTTTCAATAATGTCCACCCAGCCATTAAATTCACCAGCGAGGAGGAAAAAGACAATAGCATAGCTTTTCTAGATGTCCGACTCTCTAGAAGGATAGATGGTTCCATAAAGCGAAATATGTTTAGAAAGTGTACATGGACGGGTCAGTATACCCATTTCCAAAGCTTCACACCTCTGTAATATAAAATAAATTTGGTTAAGTGTCTCAACCACAGAATCAAGGTATTATGTTCTGAAGACAGTGTGGAGGAAGAAATAGTTATACTAAAGAACACATTACGTAATAATGGCTATCCGGATAATTTCGTCAAAAAATACCTCGTACAAAGTATTAAAAAGGGAAGACATTGCGACACGGTCAGTAAAAAGACCTTATATCTGAAACTTGACTTTAAAGGCGACATAGCGGGTGACATTCTAACAAGTCGACTCAAAAGATCTGTCGAGAGGACGTTTCATGCCGCCAAGCTACACATAACTTTCTCGACTAAGCCAGTACTCACACAACTAATCAAGGATAAGTTACCGAAGATGGGCTCCTCCATGTGTGTATACCAATTCAACTGCTCCTGTGGAGCTAGTTACATAGGCCGTACTCAGAGGGCTTTATCCTTGCGTGTTCGTGAACATGTACCAGCATGGTTGGGAAAAGGAGTCACCAAATCGATTAACAGCACCATTCTTTCTCACTTGGTAGATAGTGAACATCATATTAAAATAGAGGAAGCTTTCTCTGTTTTATATCAAGTTCCAAAATATCTACCTCAAGGAGCTAGATTACGACTACTTTACACAGCCGAAGCCATCTAGATCAACTCCAGAAGACCTAATTTATGCATCCAGAAAAAATATATCCAGCCTCTATGTTTACCCTGGCCTACGACTGGATCACCAAATACCTAAACTGAATATTATAAACCTCTTACCCCTTCCTTCCTTCATTTCATTTATTTTCCTTATTATCATTATTTGTCATTATCTATATCTTAATCTTCATATCCATCATTCCCAATTTGTTGACCGTAATTACCTTGATAACACCCACCCCCCTTATTACATATTATATTCACACGACAATATTATTATTATTATCTCAGTTGACAAAATTATTTTCAATTTTGCAATAGTACTATTATATTATCTTATTGTGACTGAACAATTTACTGACCTTTATTGAATGACCTTTCTAATTTGCAAATATTACAATTTTTTGAAGTATATATATATATATATATCGTAACAGATGCAAACGCTCACCATTTTTAACACATAACATTGTCAAACTCATTAAAACATGCCTTATTTTTGGCCTTTGTAAAATATTATAATTATGGACTTATAACTGTAGAGCCTGATGATGAAGTTATTGAAAACAATTGTTCGCTCAAATATTCTTCGTTTTTGAATAATCTTATTATCCTTCATTAATTTTCGTTTTCCTTTTGATTGCAGTAACTTTATTCTTTTGGTCATCATGCTATCGAACCTATTTTCACCGTATTAGGGCGATATGTGTAAGCTTAAGCAGCTGCAATATTGTCTGAGATTTCACACTGTATACATTCATATCTTACTGTCAAATTGTCCAACTTAAATTATTTACGCCTAAAATGTGTGTGTGATGTTATCAGTTACATACCATCTCTTTCGAAGAGTATTTATAAATAATTATAGTTTATATAAAGTCCAAAAGAGTTAAGGCCTATAAAATAATGGTCAAGGGTTGACATTTAATCCAATTACTTATTATATGTTAAATTTATTGATCGCATTTTCATATTCTATTTATTATCTAAGGGATTTCAGCGAGCTGAAACTCTCAACTACTTTTTGTCAAGATTTATTTCAAATTTGTTTTCAATATTTGTATAAACACTTATTGTCCCATTCCAATATTTAGATGATGATCACCAATACGAAAAGAAGTTTCAAAGTCCTTAATTATTGAAATATGTAACATTTTGCCTTTGAATTTACTGTAGTTCTAAATCGGATTGAACATTTTTGTTGTATAGTTCAAAATATTTTCAGTTGCAAAAAGTAATAGGCGATGTTTTACCTTTCACTGTTATGCGCCATATATATGTATAACTATCAAAAACTCCTTTTAATTTCTCAGATTTGGATTGACAAAGAGCACATGGTCCAAGATGTTAAGATATTAGATGCTATGGCAAGCGCTGTACAAAATGCTGCAATTGTATTAATACTTTTTTCTAAATCATACCAAGATAGTGAAAACACTAAAGCAGGTAAGTACGAAACTGAATAAATTCTACATAGAAATAATATTATTGAGGTGTTTATTGAAATTTCATCAAGAAATATCAATCCAACTCAACAGTAGAAACAAAGTCATTTATAGAAATCAACAAACTGTCCATCCTACTATATATAAAAGACAAGAAATTATCAAGAGACTATTGAAGCTGTTCGGAATCGGTGTTTCACATAAACCAGCATAATCACTTCAACTAAACCTATGCAAACCAAAGGACGAAATGATAAACGAAAAATAATCAAACGTCATCTGTAAAATAAACTGTTCCAGTTGCAGAAAACGCTGTATTGGACAAAGTGGATTCCTCTTTCATCTTTGCCTGCATTAAAATCAATTATCGGTCAAATTTCATGACATGTCCTTGATTGTATTTTTGCATTTGGACACTCATTGGACTTGAAATATGTTGAAATCCTGGATGGAGAAAGTATTAATACCATCAGAGAATTTTTAGAAGCTTGGCACTCAGGTCAATCAACAAACACAAACAATCTATCAATCAATCAGAAAATTTATGGACAAATATGAGACCAGAAGTTAGATCAAAGGGAGATACAATCAAAGTATAGAGGCAGATAATGACAGGTTAAAAGTCAACAGTAACCAATCTAAATCGAGGTCAACAGGACAAGCTGTGGAGTGACTTCTACCTGAAGTTTGTGCTGATGTTTTTCAGAAGAACAATGAAAGATCCACGATCATTCCATCCAGCTCAGACAACCGAACTTCACCGAAAATTTGTAAACTGTAGTAAAATGACTGCTTAGTCGGTTGAAATTCAACTTTTCAACTTTAGACCATACATTTAAAACCTTCCATATCTATTGAAGCTTTAACAACTTGGTAGTATCAGTAGTAGTAGTAGTTTTTATACAAACAGCATGGTTTATAGCTGAGTATATAAAATTTAATTCGGCGATGAATAATTTGCATTATTATGTTGATAAAAATGGAAGAAAATGACTTTTTCCGCACTTTTTACTTTATTTCCCACATTGCCTAACTGTGAATATAGTATTGAATTAATTTAAACTATGTGGTTCTAAGCTTAAAAGTATAGGTTGTTGATCAAATCAACTTATGAATCTGTGACCTGTGAATTTAAGCCACATAGAATGTGAGGCAGCTTCTCGCTAATTGCATTAAAAATGCTTCGCATGACATCCTAAATTGGTTAAAGTTAAACCTGTAACCCACTGGATGCCTATTTAGTGGTTTAGAGGTTAATTCCTCTCCATCAGGCCTGAATATCTATGGTTCGATCCCCGGAGAGGGTGCATACTACTGAGGAGCTTCATATGAAAACGAAACAGCTGTCCAGTGTTTTTTTTCTAATGGCTGTCTGAATAAGATCGGTTTTTTGATGCTAACCAGTTATGCTTAATGTTCGGACACCGATTTACATATTTTTATAGTATTAAACATTTTTACCGATTAAAAATTCCCATTTAAGTTCTTTTGTCATATATACATTGCACTATATGTATGAATTATTTAGTCATACATCACTTTTACATCGATATTTGACACGGTACAAAAACTGGAGTTTGCCTGAATTCGGTCATAATACTTATACCTATGTGATAAATTGCAATAGTATGTACTTGTTGCTTTTGTAAAAAATTTTCATCATTATTCAATTTTTAATGTAAACGAACATTGAAGGTTTAAAACTTATTAAAGATCATTTTTATAACATATGACTTTATTAGTATACTACGTAAGCGGTGGTATACTTTTATCGTCAGTTCATTATGTTTTAAATTTTTGGTCTAAAAATAATAAAACTAGTTACATGCCAGTTTTAACGAGCAAACGGTTTTGTAGCTCATGATGAAAGCACTCTATGAATATATATGTCATACCACATCAGCACAAGCAGATGAAGTTATTATGATGAATAGCAAAGGGATCAAAATAGTTGCAATATCCAAGATAACCATTAGAAATACGCCTGAAGAATACAATGGAAAGCTATATATGAAGGAATACTGGGAGTCATGGTCTAGAGGAATGTTTCGATGCTTTTGGGACCGGTTTTGATCCATGTTACCTAGATTATTCAACCACTGATCGCCGTTGTCGCGCGGACTCCAACTAAATATTATACATCAACCACTACGGTTCAAACCAACGGCCAATGATTGTACGGACTAATGCCACATCTACCGATTCCTACTCCATCCGACAGTGTACTTCGTGGCAGGCAGTGGTTGAGGGCATGTCTGAGCAATCTCAGATTTACGAATATATCAACTGATTTGCCATTGCAATCGGTATTTTTCCTAGAGGGTATTAAAAGTTCGATAAATTCAATCTTTGAATTTCCTAGTCACATTAAAGATGACTTATTATTATAACCAAGCGAGTACCACCTGTAAATATAATTTATATACAAATGGGTTATTTATCTAAAACCGTTTAACTGATTAAATACATGCGTATAAATTTTGTATTTTTGGCTTTAAATTAATTGTAGATTTTGTCATTTTCTTTTATAAAACCATTGTTTTGTTATTAAAACTGTTCTAAACAGAGTCAACCAGGCTTAGACTATCAACTTTTTTCTCTTTTTTGTTTTATTCTACACTTCACTTCATAGAAGCGGAATATACTCGAAAACTAAAAAAACCGCCTATTTTTCTGCGTGTTGAGCGAGGATTTGTTCCAGACTCTTGGTTGGGCTTCATGATTGGTGAAAGTCGTTATATTGATTTTTCAGGGAAATATCCTTTTGAAGAAAAATTTGAAGAACTATGCACTACGATTGTAAGTTTAAATATTTTAAAGACGTGCATAACTTCTAACTGATTACATTTTCAGCTGTTGAATGTCTTCAGTTTTACTGATTGTACATTTCTTACGCTACATTTCCTCTCTTGCATCTCAACTTTTAACTTAGTCGACTTAAGATTCTATTTTCGTATTTGCAAGAAACTTTGAGAACTCAGTCAGAAAGTATGTAGGTATGCTTGATCTAGTTGAAAAAAAAACAACTTATTTCATGGGCGAAACCTCTTGGTTTTGATAAAGTTAGTGTATGCAGTTTTTCTGAAGAAATCGAGACATGATATTTTACTTGACCTCATAAAGTCTATGTGGTTAACCTGCACACTATTGACGCTTCGACTATCAGACAGTTGGTCAACTGTTTCTCGTATGTGTAGCGTCTGAATGAAATCTGTTATACACTGTTTGGCTGGATGGGTTTGTCAGAAATTGAACGGACGAAATAAAGGCTGATTAATTTTTCCAGACTTTTTCTACTCTTCCGTAAACTGAATTTCGGAGAAAAACCTAACTTCTTACATAGAAACAAATATTCTGATGTAATTTTCGTCGATAACTTTAACAGGGGAACAGGTAAACCTACTTGTGTACAAAAAAAATGAAGCTGACGCTTTCGTAATTTTTATTCAAGGGAATATATAAATAACGTTTGGATGCAAAGTTGACACTTGATTATATCAGTTAATAGATTTTGACACAGTGTTTATCACTAAGTAGTTATTGAAATTTCGCTATTAAAAACTACTGTTTACATCAAGATTTCTGTTTTCAAACTAGTTTGCATCTATGGTGCGTATGATACTACTGAGTAAACTAATATAAAGTCTTTATTGTGTCACTTTGATACTTTTATTAACTCATTCAAGTATCTATATAGTTATTTTAATTGAAAATGTCACTTCCCTATTCAGAATAGGTGTGAATCTGTATTCGAATTCGGAGTTGGTTTTGTAATATATCATTAGACATCATGGTGAATTCAGTCAGCCTAATCTATACATATTTTTATTTTGTTTTTCTTTCTGACTGCAGAGTAATATTAGTCGAGGATCGATCACTGTGAAACGTGAGAAACCAGTGTATGTTGTTTGTATATGTATTAGTTGTTAATAATGGACTTGTTCATCATTAAATTAATCTCCTTTTGAAGTTTTGTTATGATCTAATATGTTTGAGTAAAGATTTAAATGTGAAATTCTTATGCAAGGTTGAATATGAGAGGTTGGTTCAGTTTGTCGTCTACTTAGCTAGCTAATCTTGCAGTTATATCATGCTCAGTTAAACGAACTGATAAAACCAGGATAAGATTCGATATTTTTTCTCACTAATGTTAAAATGTTTTGCATAGGAATCTATCATGCTTTTCATAGACCGTTCTAAAACATAAACACAAGAAATCTAAATCTCTCAGGACGTTTGCCTCACGTATAAACATCTAAACAGAGATCGAATCACGACAATATTATTCACTAAGTAAAATGCCTTAAGTATTCTTCCGAATATGAAGCATCTGGATATGACAGATAATGACAGTGTGTTGTTGTGCGTATATATTTAATTGGTTCTACAATGTACATTATGAGTGCTACACTATAGTAGGATCTCGTTAGGTTGTTTTATTATGAAATTCCGTTTCAGATAAAAAAATATATAACTTATGTGGTTTACTATTTCTAACTCACTTCTTATGGAAGAAAGTGTTGTAGATGTTTGACCTGTTTGTGTATTTACAATTCCTCATATTTTATCAGGGAAAATAAACCAAATACATGCGTTTCAATGTAATATGATGATATTGGTGATCGGAATGAAGAATCCACCTCTTCTCAACCAATTCGATCTAACTTCTAACAAAATCCTATTTATCTCCATATATATATATGTGATACGTTTTCTGTTCAACAACAATGATGCTTGATGAATAATGATAACAGAATTTAACTATTCTTTTTAGTGTATTGAGTTATTTTTTTCATTAACTTGAAAAATTGCAACATGTATTATTATAACTTAGCAAACAATTTTTGAGGATGTCTTTTTCTATACTACTTATTTTATAACTTTTGTTTGATGTTTATCATCACCACTTTTTATTTATTTATCAGAAATACTACGTCTTTCTAATACGCTTGTTGTTTTGTTGTATTACATCATGGTAGTATTTAAAGTGGTGGTAATTGCCTGTGGAAATCATTTTCTGTATATGAGTACTGAAGTTTATGACTTTATTCAGTTCAGATCTATAGTTCATTGGATCGAATTAAAATAGAAAAATTCCTAAGTTTCTGTGATTTGTCGTTTTCTGTGAATATAAAAGTTTATTGTTGATTTTTATCTTGCTCACTATCTGCACACCATGAAGGGTGGTGTTTATAAAACTGAAAGGATCAAAATCGAGCGTCAGATGCTTAAACTGGGATAGTGAATATAGAAAAACCACCTCAGCATGTTGTAATACCGTAATTCAAAACCAATGGTGAACATGGACCTCAAGATACTGAGCGGACGAGTAGATTACGAACCTATTTCGGGTCTTGAGTACCATGATATGACGTCTTTTGACACCATTAAATTACCTAATGGATTAAACTGAAGGTCCTGGATTCGAATCCCGCATGCAGGATCGTGGATGCACCGTGTTAAAAAGTCCTATATTAGGACGAAACGGCTGTCTAGTGCTTCCAGGTTTTCAATGGTGGTCTAACATTAATCGATTTATGATCTCAACCAAAAAATCGACAATCTTCACAATCACATACTGATAATAAGTTTAATTTGACAGTATCAGTAAAACTAGTTAGTCAATTTCGTAAACCACATCTTATTACACAGACGGAAACAATTTTTCTCTAAATAAACTTAGTTTTTATAAAACTAGGATTTCAGACTCAGATTTTTATTAGTAATCATATTGTGTGGAGAAGTTATAGTAACAGTATTCTACTAGATAACGGTCATGTTTATGAATAAAGTTTATAACAAATTAATAACTTGATGTAAACCCTTGTAGTATGGATATTTTGTAATATGTGGTTAATAATGTCCATAGCTTTCTTTTTTCGGTTGCTTCATTTTAAATTTACTTCCCATATTGTTCATACAATTTTAATGTTTTAGGTATTGTCTTCTTCACTTAAAACAGTTTACCAAAATTTGTATTAGCAGTTGAAGTAATCAATAATTATAATGAAGATAATCAGAAGTGTTTCTGATGTACATACTGAATATACTAAAACTGAAATACTTACAAAAATATATATACACAAAATCAAAACATTTCTTGAATTCATGTTCTAACTCAAAACACAATCTAATTAGTACTGTAGACAATTGGTTTTTTTTCTCTTTAATTTTCATTAGCATGATTAGTTGTGTTGTTGGAATGTGGCTTCTGGGTCAAATTTATGGTAGTAAAAACAAGAGTTTATTTTTCAGATTGGTTATATATAGTAAACTAGTTTGTTTTATTAATTTTAGCATTATAGTATGCTAGTACAACATTAATTAGGTTGATTAGAGAAAAAACAAGTAATTGTTGATTAAAAAAACAATAATCACAGATTGCAAATAATCTTATCATGATCGATGAATGTATGAAGTTCTCTTCATTTATTTAAGAGTAAAGATAATTGAACTTTATCGTTTACGATTTGAGGAACTCTAGTAATTAGTTGAGAAAGTTATTGAGAAACGTGAATTGCAGAAAACTATCCAGTTATATGTTTTAATTATTGACGCATCGATGATGTCACTGAGTAATAGCTTCTAAATAGACTAAATCTACTAAATAGTGATAATCATAATAGATTGGACGTTGAACCACAGGAAAATATTCATATTCCTGTTTTTTCACTTTGTCAATGTACATTAATAAAAGTGTATGACGCAGTAGGGATGATCAGAGCTAATGTAAAATGTGGTTTGTTCACATATAATGGCATCCGATCATTATCCTAATTCATATACTTCCCTAGATGGAGTCACTGTATTTATCCATAAGTCTGAATTATTATATTATCACATGCAAATGATTGCAACAAATAAGTTTCAGAGGGTAAGGTTAATGAAAATGATGAGCACAATAAATTGTAGTCAAAACTCTTGTCAAAAGTAACTGTGTTATATAGGCATGTCGTGAATAGTAAAATAGTGTGAAATTGAATTAGAAGACAAATAAGTTATTTCTACAGTTGCTAATTTCAAAGTTGTGCTAAAAATAACAACAATCAACCTATTCAAATAAATAAATCACAAGGAGAAAGAAATATAAGTGAGTTCAGCTTGAATGATTATTGCTGTCATCTTTTTTGTAAGCTGACGTGAAAATTCTTAATATTATTATTTTTGAAGTACTTTCCTAACTGCATGAATCTATTCCCTATCTGTTATATTTTTCCAATAATCATTCAAGAGACTGTTGATTATAAGACAGAATAAGTCATTTTAAAGTTAATAATTTAACATTCTACAATGAAAAGAATTAAATATGGTTGACCATAATGTCTACTCTCTAAACAATCTCTAACGTAATTAATGAAGTTCCTCAAGTCGTAAACGACAAGGCCCAATTGTCTCCACTCTTAAATAATTGAAGATAACTTCATATACTCATCGATCATGATAAGATTACTTTAAATCCGTGATTGCTTTTTTATCAATAATTACTTCTTTTATGTAAAAAACCTAATTAATATTATATCAACATAATATAGTGTTGAAGGTGCTTAAGTTGACCAGTATTTACCACATACGATTGTTTTGATGAACAAAGTATTATTGTTATAAATGTCAGAATACATTTGGCCTGGAAGTCACATTCCAACAATGGAAATTATCATGCTAATAATAAGTGCGAGTAGATATGCTTTCTACTATTGAAGGTAGTTAGTCCTTTTGTTAAATTTAGATGATGTGGTATTTAAATTCTTCTACAATGTCAGTTACATTCTCTCACCATGACCTTTATGAATTCAAGTGTAATTCAGCAGAATATTTGCGTTTGGCACTACTACTACTACTACTTTTAAAAATTATTGTGGTACTTTAAATTACGAGCTTTATAAACTAAATTTATCTGTAATGTATAATTTTTGCCAACGGGACTTTTGCAATGGGATTAATATCAAATAGTAACTAACTAATTGTGCAACGGAATGTCAACTTCCCTACAACGAATGGAAATAAAAGTCCGGTCATATGAAGTCATAAAGTCGATAAGGGGTTTAGCGATATATATATATATAAACTTTTATTTTCAGTATTTTGTACTTTCAGAATTTATGTTTATTTATCCACGATTTTTGTGATAATCTTGGGCAAATCGATTTTTCCGTTTCTTTGTGGCTTGTTTTGGTATGATTCTCAGTTTATGCTAGTGTCCAATACGCAATAGTCTAGTCACTCAACTGCACTAGTTCTAATCAGTTTGGCAGTAGTTTGTGAGTTTGTATGTATTATCTGAGTAAGTGCGTTTGTCTCAATGCAATAAAGGTTCTTGAACCTACAGTTATCGCGTTACCAGACAGGTTGATTACATTGTGGAAAATAATAAAGAAAAGGTAAGAACACAGAAAAGATAGGAGACGACGATTGTCCGAAGCAGATAGCAACTAAATCAAGCAGTTGATAATGAGAGCGGTGTGAGCCGACAGAGGTATGAGAACGAAAGGAAAACAGATTATTAAAAACAAGGTTTGGATAAACTGATAGTACGTGATAATGATAATACTATTTACGTTACCAGGAACCCATCAAACGGAGCTAGTTCAAGGGGAAATATGGTAGTTCGTAGGATTCACTGAAGATTATGTGGTCACTTCCTCTGGTAGAGCATTACTTATGTGGATAACTTTTAGCCAGAGAAAATTGAATGGTACTTGAATTTCCGCTCTTTAATGTGCTGTAGTTTAGAGGTTGCCTCTAGGATATTTTGTTGAACTGTCTCGACATACGTAGCGTATTGCGTGATGGTGGATAAGATTTGTAGCTCGGGTGGATGATCTGGATGAAGTTTTGTTCTCCGAGCTGGATGGTTTGGTCGTGGAGCTTTCATCGTTCTTTTGGACGACATCATCAGCACAAACTTCAGGTAGAAGTGAAGTGTTCGAATTTCTTCACATGTGGTTCACAGCTTGTCCTGTACACCTCGACGTCGATTGGTTCTTGTTGACCTTAAACCTGTCATTGTTTACTTCTTTGTTTTGGTTGCGTCTCCTATTTGTTTATTTGTTGTTCCTGTTTGTGCATAATTTTCCTGATTGACTGATAAATTGGATCGACTTCAATGTGCTTGTTTATTGCTCATTGACCCGAGTGCCAAGCTTCTAAAAATCTCTGGTGTATTGGGAATTGCCTCTATCCGGAATCTCCATATTTTTCCAGTCGAATGTGTGTCCGCGGTTGTCCAGGTGAATTGACATAAGTGAGGACATGTCATGGCGTCTGACTGCTAACTGATGTTCATGCAGGCGTAGATGAAGAGGGCGTCCGCTTTGTCCAATGTAGTTTTTCGAAGTTGGCACAATTGATTTTGTATATAATGTTTAGTTTGTCTTCTTTTGTCATTTCATCCTTCGGTTTGCATAGGACTGATTGTATAGATTTTGTTGGTTTGTGTGCGACATCTATTCCGAAGGTTTTCAGCAGTCACGTTGTCGTTTCTGATATGCCTTTTATGTGTGGTAGGGTGATCCTTTTTTGATTTCTGTACTTGACTTTGTTTCTGATGATGCGTGAAGCTGGTATTTTTCGATGAAGTTGATTGGGTAGCCGTACTCTTAAAAGATGGTCTTCAAGCATGTGTGTATTGTAGTGTGTCCTCACCCTCTGAACAAGGTTTGAACGTAGTGGATTTTGTGAGCTCTTGGGTTGTTGTTATTGTAGTTGAGAATTTGGGTCGGCCGTCTATACACTTAAGTCTCCACTTTACCTGTGTCGGTTCTGGTGATTAATGCATCCAAGGATGATAGTTTGTCGTTTGACTCCTGTTACATTGTGAACTTGATGTCATCGAAGACGTTGTTGATCAGCCTGCAGGTATTTCCCAGCTCATACTTTTTGACGACGACGAATGTGTCGTACACCATGTGTTCAATAATTATTGGTTTCCACGAATATGGCTATTTTGATTATTCTTCCCAGTAGTAGTTAAGTCCTTCGTCTAGAAGAGGTTGTTGACTAAAAACTTCCTCAACATAGTTCCATATCTCTTCTGCTTTTATTTGTACTTTGAGGTGCGTTGTGAGGGACAACTCATTGGTTAATATCATTCATCATCTTTTAGTAGTCATCCGATATTGAACTATACTGTTCGTGTGGCCATAAGAACG